TGGTCAAGGAGGCTTGCATATTTTTGAACTCTAAGTTGGCCTAATAAAAGATATCAGACTACAGTGCCTGCTTTGTCAACCCTGTTTTGCTGGTTCAAAATGACCTGCAAGATTAATTTTCGTTTTTTAACGTAAAAACCAAGAAAAAGAAGTGTTTACTTACTGCAAGGAGTTGATTCCGTGTTAATGACCCTGGAGGTGGCTTGTACACAAGGTACAGATTGTTGCCAATTTGATGTACATTCATATTACAGAATAAGAAAATGTGAAGTTATACCATCTTGAGGATTTTGTTTTTATAAGTAGGATTGGTTAAAAAAACCTTTAAGTAATCATACTGTGTGTTTGATGGTGGAAATTAGTATGAATGTTTCTGGCAGTGGAATGATGTGATGTGGTTATGCGTTTCTGTTTTCACTGCCTGCTCAATATTGGCCTTTTACAAATACAGATTACCATGTCGATGGAAGGAATTTACAGCTTTGGCCCCCTTGTCTCACCCTGTTTTAGAGCACCTTTTTTGTACTTTATGTTACATATCCTCCCCACTGTATTTTTTCTGACAGAAAAAGGAAATGTCTGTGGACTGAGATCCTGAAAACGTGTGAGCTTTACTATTTGATTGGATGAAACGAGTATTATTTCCCACTTACCTTGATTTCCTGTGGGATGAAAATCTTGCTCCTCTGAAATCAGTACCAAAGTTTTTGCTGAGTCCGACAGGATGGAGCGTTCATCAGTGATCCTCCACCAGCTAGTGACGTTGCATACTGGAAGCTCAGAAAAAAACCCAATCACTTATATAATAACAATAATAACAACGGTAGAAAGAATACTTTTAAAAAATTAGGATTTAGTACTGTCAAATAAGATCCATAAATAAAATCCAATCAGAATACAGAAGAGGTACGTATACATTTAATATTGCTAGTTTGGGGGCCTCACAGCCCGGATAGTTAGAGCTGCAAGATCCGTTTGTGTTATGTGGGCTGTTACACTACATCCCTTACTTACCTCATCTTGTGGGCAAGGATCTGCTTGCTCTGACTTCATGGAATTGCAGCTGTATTTGTGGAGTGCTCTTGTCCTTTGGCACTCCCGCCCCTGTATATTAATAGGGTTTGAATGCACCAGCATTTTCTCTGGAAGCAGACTTCAAAATTTGTCTTTAATCCTGATGCAATGTATATTCAGAATTTTTTCTTTTCCCGGAGTTTAGTTCCAGAGGAAAACATACTTGACTGGTGCTCCCACCAGCCAGCTGCGGTTTATAACAATAATTAACAGTAAGATACTGCAGCAGAAACGGTGAGCAGAGAAATGCAGTCCAGCAGCTTCAGTTATGTGGTTCTGTTCACTTTTAAGGATTCCAGAGTGCTTAGCAAACAATATTACAGGCAGCACGGGCAGCTCTGCCCATGATGAAGGTTTCCTAATGCTTCCTGTTATATGATCCTGTTTTTATTTATTTATTTTTTTTTTCCAGAGCTTTGCCAAACTTAATGTATTTAGGCTAAATTTATTTTTATCTAATGTCGGTCTCTAGGTTTGGTTTGGTTTTGATTTTTTTTTTCTTAATTTTTAATTGAAAAGTGATTGAACTATTTATGAGATGAAGGCTAGTAAAAAATATGTTTTTCTGCTTATGTAAAAAAAAAAAAAATCTGAACCCTGTATTTTAAACGGTTTTGGAGCAAAGGCAGACCTTTCTCTGCCTTTGAATCAGGTATGTGCCTTTTGCCATCCTCACAAAGCCTTTCAGATTTGGTCGACTGTTTCAAGACACGGAAAAAACCACAGTTACCAAATATTCCGTAGAGATTTACTAAAGCCTCACAGCAAATATTTCCAAAGATTTCATCTTCTCCGCCTCACACAGCTCCTTCCCGTGATCAGACTTTCCATACACCGTCCTCACCGAACGACTGAGCAGTCACTCGCTGGGTGCACCAGAGGCCAAATCGGAGGCAACCCCTGCAGTGCTGCCCCTGGGCATTACTTAGAGCTGCAGCGATGCTACGCGGTGGAACCGATGATGGGGAGCCTGTCCTTCCTCGGCTGGAACGCAACTCAGGGCTCCCAAATTTTATTGCTCGTGTGCTGTCGGCAAGCCTCCAGCATAGCTTCTCTTTGCCAACTAGCCCGACTGCACCTAGAGAGTCAGACAACCTCAACAAGACCCTGAGCAACCCCATCTAATGATGAAATTAGTCCTGGTTTGAGCAGGGGGTGGGACCGCGTGAACTCCTGAGGTCCTTCCCAACCTAAGTTAGTCCATGGTTCTGTGAGCCTTTGCTGTCCGTTTCTCTATTAGTCTGTGTGGGCCTGAGGGCAACATCCTAGTTAATGGGTCTCTGTGAGTGTGATGCACAAAATGGAATTCGTCTTTATTAGTTTGTTTTTAAGACCAAGTATATGGAAAATACGTCATTAAGATAATATTCAAGCTACGTGGACAAGTATCCAAAAGTGAAGAATAACAGAATGATAGAATCGTCAGGGTTGGAAGGGACCTTAAAGATCACCCAGTCCCAGCCCCCCTGCCCCGGGCAGGGCCCCCTTCCCCCAGCCCAGGGGGCTCCCAGCCCCGTCCAACCTGGCCTTGAACCCTTCCAGGGAGGGGGCAGCCACAGCTGCTCTGGGCAACCTGGGCCAGCGCCTCACCACCCTCACAGCAAATGATTTCTTCCTTATATCTGACCTAAATCTACCTTCATTCAGTTTAAAACTGTTACTGCTCACCCTATCCCTGCACCCCCTGATAGAGTCCCTCCCCACCTCTCCTGCCCCCCCTTTAAGCCCTGGGAGGCCGCTCAAAGGGCTCCCCGGACCCTTCTCTTCTCCAGGCTGAACCCCCCCAACTCTCTCAGCCCGGCCCCCCAGGGGAGCTGCTCCAGCCCCCCCAGCATCTTCGTGGCCTCCTCTGGAATCATTTGAGGAGGTCCATGTCTAATGCTGGGGGCCCCCGAGCTGAACACAGTACTCCAGGGGTGGGGTCTCACAAGAGCAGAGTAGAGGGGGAGAATTACCTTCCTTGAATTGCTAGTCACACTTCTCTTGATGGATCCCAGGACATGGTTGGCTTTCTGGGCTGCAAGTGCACATTGCTGGCTCATAGTCAGTCTTCCATCCACCAATATCCCCAAGTCCTTCTCCGCAGGGCTGCTCTCAATCCATCCTTTGCCCAGCCTGTATTTGTGCTGGGGATTGCCCCGACCCCCGGGCAGGACCTTGCCCTTGGCCTTGTTGAACTCCATGAGGTTCGCACGGGCCCCCCTCTCCAGCCTGCCCAGGTCCCCCTGGATGCCATCCCTGCCCTCAGCGTGTCACTGCACCACACAGCTCGGTGTCATCGGCAAACTTGCTGAGGGTGCATCGATCCCACCGTCCATGTCTCCAACAAAGATGTTAAACAGCACTGGCCCCAACACCAACCCCTGAGGAGCACCACTCGTCACTGCTCTCCACTTGGACATCGAGCCGTTGACCACAACTCTTTTGAGTGTGACCATCCAGCCAGCAAATGATCTCTGCAGCCTCGGTATGCTTCTAACATATATTTGCGTTGAAACACTGACTCTAGTTTTGTTCCTGCACTGCGTTTTTTCTCATATGGCTTCATTCCTATATGTAGCATGATCTGCTCTGGAGATGAAGCAGCACAGAGGAGAATTGGTAGATGGTAACTGCAGAACTCTAGCTCACTTGTTGAGAAGGTACAAGGTATTTTCTGAATGAAACAGGGCATGGCAGAAAGAGAAAACAAGGTCTCCAGGTTCAGGTTGTTGAATTCTGCTCTGGAGAGCTGGACAGCATCCTTGCCTCTTCTACCGTGCTCCTGTGTGGTAATGGGCAAACATTTCCCAAGTGGTTATCGATTGCCAAAAGAGCCTTTCTGCTTGTGCCAGGAGTATCTGGAACAAGATGATTGTGCAAATGTCATCCATCAATCACAACTCTTTCTTTGGTAATGTCATGTATGACATTCCATTTAATAAAGCCTTCATCAAGTCAGGTTAGGTAACTCCTTATATCTGTTTATCATCTAATGTTCACTTCCTATTTATATTTACACATCTACATATAATGGTTTATAAATGATTATTTGGCAATGAATTAGGCAAACTATCTCAAAAATCTCTGAAATTCACGGAAATGTTCAGGCAGCATATGAGATTGTTTTTCAAACCTCACCAGGCTTAATTAGATCCTGCAGTTCATTCATTTGCACTGAAGTCAATTGGAGTTTTACATGTGGAAAGCCTGCAAGATCAAAAATTATGCCCAATGGGCACATAGCTCGATAGAAGAAAATGTCAGCTCCGGATGGTAGTATTTCTGACTTCTCATCGGTTAGACTTTCTTTCCCCCCTCACTTTTTCTCTCTTTTTCAATTAGCTTTTCTTGCATTTTTATGTGAGTGGTTTTGAAAGGGTTCCTGGAAAAAAAAAAAACAAACTTGCTGCATATACTGTACATGTTTTCATTTACAGATCACTGCGATGGATCGGCAGATAAATAAATAGATAGGGTTTTTAGAGTCTGTGAAATATGTCGCACAATGTAAAACCCTCTTCTAAGTCTGTTTTGCCAAATATGTCAAATGATATTTTGGTAATTATAGTTCTGGAATATATTTTCAGCATTTCTTATTGCTGTTCTTGATCTATGCATCCTTGTTTGACAGTCCCTTAATCTGTCCGATATAAACTGAATGAATAGCAGCATTTAAAAATATGGCTTCAGGGACTCCTTAGGAGGTTTCTTTGTAAGTGTACATTTACTAGTTCATCTGTAAATTTATTTTATGAGGTGTTTAAACCTCAAGAAAACTGAAAAGCATAATATTAATGCCTGGTTTACATCTACTGAAGTCAATGGGAACTTTGCAATTGACTTTAATGGTAGCCTATGTCCTCTAATTATGAAAGTGGCAAGCATGATATACACAAAACCACAAGGAGAGTTTTCTGTTTCATCATATCCTATTCTGTTTGCAGATGCATCAGCAAAGTACAATGTGGTTTGTTCTTGAATTAAACCATTCAGTCTTTGGACCTAATCCTGAACCACATTGCTACTTTAGGTGGTGTTTTGCTTCTCAAAAGATCATGGACTGCTCATTCTTTGTGTGGCTCATGAAGGTGACAAGGTAGGAAATCCAGCCAAATTTTCAAAAGGCTTTTGAAAATTATGCTTCTGGCTTTGATCTTACATCTGCCCTATGGTGTGAGTAATGGAAGAAGTTGATGAAGCAGTTTTCTTCTTAATTGCCTTGTTGTTTTTTTTTTGTTTTTTTTTTTTTTTTTTTCATCTGATCAATTTTGACAAGTTTCCTGGAAATGCACATAATATCTGTAGCACATATGTACATGTTTTCCCTTAAGGTTTGCTGAAGTGTAGTAGAAAGTTTCCATCATGCTATTGTAATCCCAGGCATCATTTTCATATCGTGTCAGTGAAAGTGAGTGAGAGTACACCACAACAAAAAAAGAGTCCCAGAATTCAGCTTTTTTTTCTGTTAGTGTAACAAGCGCAGCAGTCTGAACAGGCTAGATCTGGTATGTAATTTGTAGTAGTAAATAATGCTAGACAGAAATTCCCACAAGCTTCTTGTTGCGTCTGCTTCAGGAGTATTACTCATTTGGTGGCTGAAATGCTGGTCTTGCTTCACATTTTTAATGCCTGTGAAAGATTTAAATATTTAGTTGGTAACTGGAGCTGGTAGCATACTGCAGGCAAGAGCTTGTCAAAAGTTTTCAGATGGGGCCGTGCTCAGTTGGAAAATGGCATTTGTGCGGGGTGAAAACGCTGTTCCTGTGGTGCATCAGCTCCACGGAAGCCCCAGAGGAACCGAGCTGGGGGCTGCTGCTGCCCTGTCCCCACCAACCACACCAGCCACCCCTCGGGTCTCTGCTGGGCTGATCAGACCCCTGGCGTGGCAGTAAAGAAAGAAGTGGGTAAAGTCGCCTCTTAAGGTTGACAAAAGCTGCGTCACCAGAATTAGAAGGGAGTAGATTCTGTTTTCCCCCACCCACCGAGCCTCCCCCTGCCCCGGCATAACCAGCTCCCACCTTGTCCATGTGATGGGATAGCAGCTCTTTGGCTTCCTCCCCTTCAGTCCTGCCTGGCTGGTGGAGTATCAGACCTTTCTGGTCCCCCTCCCCAAGCCTCCCGAGTCCTCAGGCTGCTGCCCCTTCAGCCTCCCCAGCCCCAAGGCTTTCTGATTCACAGGTGGTTGCTTTTTTTAAGGTATCCCAGTGTTGGGGCAACCAGGAGTCCAGCAGCCCTGGAGTTTGTGCTGTCCGGCGATGCCATTGCTTTGGGAGTGAGCTGGGAATATCATGTACTGGCTTTCTCAAAAAAAAAAGTGGGTCATAAATTCTCCCTCAGAAAAAAAAAAAAATGACTATTAGTATCGATTGCTGGCCTAACGCAAAATGTGTCTGTTTCAATATTACTTTGGGAAAAGTTAGTTAAGAAAGAATCCGTAGAGGTTATTCCAGATGTCTTCTGTAGTCCTAAATCCATCTTTATCACCTAGACATGAGCAGAGATCTCTGTTGTATAATTGGAGAAATACATAACGACTGGAGATTATGTCTGTATGGGAGACTTCCTAGATGTAGGTTGGAGGAAGACATGCAGAAGTAGGGACCTGTTTCTCAAGGTACCTATAAATACGGTAGATAAAATACTTCTTCACCAAATGACTTCTCAACCAATCCTAGTTTAGACTTAGTTTTGATGAGCACCGTGGTTTCTGTGGAAGAATAAAAATAGAAGAAACTTTGAAACAAGTACTCACAAGCCTACTGTGTTTACACTAAATAGAAGAATAAACAGAAGTAGGACTGTAGTTAAGGTTCCTGATTTTGAAAAGGAAAATTTTAATAAGCTATATGAATTATCTACTGAAGTCATTTGGACTGGGGAGCCGAGGGGTTGAAATGTGGAGGACAGGTAGAGTTTTTAATGTTTGAGATGTGAAAACTACTTAGAACTCATATCCCAAACAAAAGAAAAAAATAGTTGGGAAAGGCACCGTATCTAATTTGATGGGTAAGCATCACAGAAAAGACATTAGTACGTAATGCAAGGACAGAGGAAAAAGAGGGATCAGCAAAGAAGGTTGTATCTCGGATGACATGGTATGTAGGAATAAAGTAAAAACAAATGAAAGGAGCTTGAGAGAAATACCAAAAAGTTCTTAATCTAGAAAAAAATGAGGGAAAGGGAAAGCCTCCTGTGCTGTGAAGATGAGCTATAACCTGTGTTGGATAAACTGATGGTGATCTAGCAACAGGGCAAAATCTGGAGGGTTACTGAGGGAATGGAAGTGGCAATTAACCTACCGACGGGGAACAAAGCTCAGGACAATTAATGGGCTCCAGTGAGGGAGGTGAGATAACTTGCTCCAGAATTCAGGCAGAACAGGTGTATGAAACCGTATGTGTGAATGCCTCATAAGGAGAAAAGGGACCATGTGGAAAGAAAACAGTTTCTCTTTGTAAGAAGGGAGGGGAGACTCGCGTGGACAAGAGCAGGCCTATTAATCTGACCTCAGGGTTGCAAAGCTTTAAAACAGATATTGAAGGAAAGAAATTTCTATATCGTAAATATGAGGAAAAAAAATTTTTTTTTTGAAAAAAACGCCTTGAATGTGATATGCGAATCTGGTGCTTTGGTTTGCTGGAAAAGTGACATCTTGTCAAATCTAACCTTTCTGGATCTCAGCGAAGAATTTGCTATGGTACAGCAACGTATCTGATATGTCCCCAGGAAATATTTTTCTCTGTGATGGAGGAGACAAATAGGGAAGTAGAGGGGGGATGTGAGGGAGAGAAAAGTAGTGAAGTAGCAATTCTCTAATCAAGTTTACCTGATAATTTGGGTTAGGTAGTTGTGCTTTTTTTATTTTTCCCATGGGCTAACATTACAGCCTGTGCAGTCTGCAGTGCTTAGCAGTCCTGTGTGGATGCAGAAGGCACACACAGTATGGCTTGTCTCTTGTTTTGCTCTTACCAGAGTTTAAAATGTATGACATTTTGTCTTAAAGTACATGTTTTTAGATGGAAAACCGTAACTGTCATTCTGGTGTTTGGGGTAGGATTCTAAAATGACAAACCACTCAAAGAAAGGGAAACAGCATAGAAGGGGAAAAAAAAAGACAACGCAAAAAGCAGAAATACAAAAATATGCGACACTCAGGAACCTTCTTATTTCCTCTGTGCAGGGGAACTGTTGCGGTTCTGGATTTGTATTGCATTTGGGGGTCAAACTCCAGTATAACACTAACCATCCCTAAAGGGGGAGGAAGGAGCGGTGTACACGTCCTCTGCTGCCCCGTGGTCCAGGCAGGGAGACTGTCTGCCCCGGAAAAAAGCACGGCGAGCTTTCCTCAAGTGGCTGTGTTCAGCTCTGCCCCGCAAGCAGAAGTGCAGACGGGCGGGTTGGTTCAGGTTTCCGGGACCTCCCGGTTCCCTCCGCAGCATTTCACTTCCCAGCGTTGCCCCTGCCTGTGCTCCCCTTGCACACCAGGCACTTCCAGCGCTCCCCGGCCCCCAGTGCCCCGAGAAAACGGGCACCCTTCCCCGCTTGCAAATGTGGGCCTTCCAGACCTCTTTGAGCCGACACGGGGTAAGTGATGTTCAGAAAACATGAGTTGCTCGGCACTCGCCCTCGTGGGGCAAGGGCTTGGGCACCGAGGAGTGGCTGCATGGTGTTTGTGCAGCCCAAAGCGGTTACTGCACCCTGGAGATAAGCAGTTCCCTCTGACTCGGCTGCAAAGAGCAACGGTTGGAAGGAGAGGGATTTCTCCGAGAGAGGCAACAAAAAGATACATGCTGATAAAATCCCTTACAAATACAGAACTTCTGAGGGTAAGACAAACAAAGAAAACTTGAGGCAAAAGAGAGAAAAGTAAGGGCTTACTTTTTTTTTTTTTTTTGGGGGGGAAGAAAGTACACTTTGAAGTACAGAACCAAGCAAAGCTGGGGGAAGCTGGTTATGGGAGGAAGAAAAGCGTGTCCACTAGGCACAGGAAAAGCTACACGTGCAAAACTCGTGAGAAATTTACACCACGGCATGATATATGGTTATTTCTTGTTCTGTGTGGATCAGGTTAAAGTAATGCTTAACCTTGATGTTCGAGGTCAGTGCCGCAGAGCCCTTGGCTGTCCCCAGGGAGGTCAGATGAAGCCAGAATGCCTTTGAGGAGGGGCTTTTTTGTCGTATCGTGGTTTAGCGGCTCAGGGAGTTTGGATGAGCTAGGACTTGTCGTAGAGCATAGGCTGTTTGGTGGGGAAAGGGGTGGGAGGACTTCTTTGGGAAGTGACGCCGGTGATGCATCACCAGAAGTGATGAGAGTCCTTAAAAAAACTGTAGCTGCAGTGCTCAGATCCAAACCAGTTTCCTAGTAGCTGCCTAGTAAGAAGTGGGATGGGTCTACGGCAGTCACACGTATCTCATGATTCAGTGACCAAGGCTTAAAACGTTGAAGTTAAGAATGTCCTAGGTGAAGTGAAAAGAATGGGACGTGAAAGTAATCCCAATGCCAAGGTTATGCCACGTGAGTTCAGTAAGTAGAGTTGAGAGAGCAGAAAAATTGGCCAAATTTGGAGCTCTTATCATTGTGCAGAGGCTTATTTGATCCCATACGTGCATTTAATTCGCCATGTGTAACATTAAAGACTAGAAAAACTGCTTAAGGGTGATCAGTAATCTGAGCTCAGAACTCAAGCAGACCTCTAGTCCAACAAGAAAAGCACTGCTATTGCTTTGGGATGAGAATTGTCTTTTTGCTGGATTCTAGCATGGAACTGAGACGGTCGTGGTCAACTGTTGATAATGATGTGCGCAAGGAGACACTCCTTGAGCTAAGTGGAAGCAGCTAGAAAATCTGTTTCAGTAGAGCTCCTCAGGCTCCGGCAGTAAAAAGTAGGGACATATTTGCACAAGCAACTTCTCTGCAATTTCCTCTCTGCTTTTCAGCTGGCTCCAGCCTTGTGAGGACGGCCAGGCCATCATGGGTTTGGGGATTATATAGGTCTTCCTGCTTCCAGCCTGCTGCTGGTCCCAGCAAAGTGCTTACGCTGGGCTGAGGCCCCACTCTGAAGGCATTGGGATGTAGCTGTGCTCTTCATGAAGTCATTGCTTTGTTAAGAATGTTAAGGAGGATAAACTGAAGTTGCGACAAGGTTCTAGCTTTTGATAGTCACAGTTATATGTGTGACAGACAAGGACTCTATAAACAGAACCGTGCACCGCCATAGGTAGGACTGAATCTTTGATCGACTTTTGATGAAATATATTGAAAGAAACTCTCCAGATCTAACCTATCTGTTGAAACAGTCTCATGTGTTTTATATTTACCAGCGAGTTTACAGCAATGTACCCACTTTTCATGCGTTTGCATTTACCAAAATAAAAACAATCTTTGGAAATCCGTCATTTAACTATCATAATAAAGCAGTGTTATCTTCTTTTCACAGATGGGAGAACTGAAGGGACAGAGCTGTTGAGTTATCTGCCCAAAGCCATAAAGGAGGCTGGTGACAAACCCAGGAATAGAAGCCAAGTCTCCTAAATTGCAGCCTAATGCCATCTAATACTGTGATCAACAAGAAAGTTTGCCTTCTGATGTTACAATGAGGTATGCCATAGCAATACCTATACATTAATAATTTACCCAAGGGGAACATAGTTGAATGTGTATGTTTGCCTATGGTCTTGTAAATAATTCAAAAGAATTCTTTGACTTCTAACTCTGAATTGAATTTCTAATACTGTTTTCTTTATAACTGAGCTTTTTTTTTTTTTTTTTTTCGCAGATATTTCTTTGTAAGTCATGTTTAAAACATACAGTTCTCAAAATCTGATTTATTAAAATTACCACAAGTTAATGTCCAAAAATATCCCAGAGTAGCTTCAATAATTCATATTTCTGGATCATTTAGAGTCCAGCTTCAGGGTTTTCTTCAGGGTCCTGAGCCCCTGTGCTTCAGCTTGCCTTTATAGAAGATGGTGGATAGCTGGCATCTCTGAACAAGGAAATAAAGTTGTGTATTCCCAGTGAGAATGTTCTTAGCTTTGGAAATAATTTTTGGAAATATTGCTGTCAATGTGATGGAAGCATCAAAAGTCACAGTTTTGGCAGAGGTACAACTTGCTTTCTGTCTCTCCGAGCTGTGTCCTCCTATACTGAGTCAGGAACATGTGCACAATCCTTCTCTTTTTGATGCTGATCTTCTGGGGTGTTAAGCACCAACAGTTGCATTTGGAGCTGCTTTTACTTGCACTCGAGGGTTTGAAGCAGTGCGGCAGCTTTTTGCATAGGACAGGGAAGGTTTCCTTCTGGCTTTTACCTCAACCTGACATATTAATGCTGTGGGCTTCCCAAAACTGTGCTAGTGTCCAACGCTGAAACGCCACTGAAGCGTTGTCTTAGTAGTAGGTAGCTCGGTGAATCATTAAGAGCAAATATTAATTCAGACTGGAAAACTGCATTACTTCTACAACATACTCCTTATAGCACCTTTACAGTTTCCAAATTTTTCTTTTCAGTAGTTTGCCTGGACACAGGTGATGAGCATGCTCAGAGAATGTCAGGTTAACTACAGTCAAACCTATAAAGTATCTGCAATTCATCCATGCTTCTCCCACCAGCAGGTGTCATTCTGGAAAAAGGAAAATATTGTAAATTCCTGAACTGGAGAATTTGGCTGTGACAAAGGAGAAAAAAAATATATGTTTGCTTAAAATATATCTTTTGAAGGATACTTTACTCCAAATAAAAACCAGGGGAAAGTTGGCTGGTCTGCATTTTTTAATAATCTTTGTGCAGCATGTAATCCTGACACATAACCAACAAAGGGCAAATGGTTGGTAAGACAAACCAGTGTCTCGTTAAAGCTGTCTTCTGCTTTTTACTGCTCCCTGTGACATCTTCACCATTGCTTACTCACCCCCCATGACTATAAAATCAGTGATATTCATCAATCTTTGTGCTGAACTTTTAGGCTTTAGTTTTAAAGCTTTAGTTCCTTCAAATGAAATACAGATATAAGGTGTTGAATTCAGATCTCATTTACTTCAAGCCGATCTCGAAGTAATCTCATTGAAGCAACTGAAATTAGTAGAATTGCTTGGGATTTAGTCTGAAGTAAACAAAACCAACATTTCACTTCTTACTCCATAAATGAGCCTCAAGCAGAAAATAATCACATAATCATTTTGATGTCTATTATGATATTTACGTTTTCATTGAAGTGTTCATCTGGGAATTAGCTGCAGCCTCCTTTAAAGTGAAGCGATTATTTTTGATTTCTCATAATCACAGTGAGAAAGCTATGGCTGAGTCATAAAGAACCAAGACCCTGCTGAGAGCTCCTGGTCTACCAAATCTACTCTTCTGGCTGTTATAAACAAACATACCATGAAATCCATGCAGAAGGTGTCTTGCACGCCCTATATCCTACTGGAAGTTTGTTCCAACCCATCACAGCTCTCATGATTACAAATATTCTTCTGTCTTTCAGCCTAAATTCATCCAGGGCCCTTACGTCTTATATTGTCCTTTTACATTACATAGTTTTTTCTCCTCTACTGTGGTCTTCTCCTTTCAGGCTCGACTTTCATAAGCCGGAGGTGCTGGGCTCTGGGGGTGCACAGCCTGCCAGGATGGCTCCTCTCGCCCAACCCTGACTTTCCCCAGGAGCTCTCTGTGGGCTGGGGAAGTCGGGGGGGGGGCCCGTGCGGTCCCTTCCCCACCATTTGGGGTGGGGAAATTTGGGCCCGAGCATCCTAGACTGAACTACGACAATTTGCCTAGGGTTCTTTCAGAAGCTTAGTTTTCCATCTCCCAGCATTACTTCAAGTTAAATTGATCTTTTTTTTTTTTTTTTTTTTTTTTTTTTTCCAACAAAGGCAAGCAGAAGTGTGCGTCCTTTGTTATTGCCTTGCATACAAGATGAATGCAACAGCTTCCACACCCGATTAGAAACACTTCACCTGACACATCTTAGTGCTGTATTTACCTTTCTTCTACCTTCATTGTGGTCATCTTCCAGTTGACTAGTCCAGCAAGATTTATCTTCTCCTCAGCCCTTTCCAGAAGTGCTACTACAAAGGACTATTTGCTACGGTGACATGACGCTCCACCAAAACTCCTCCTGGAATCAAAAGGAAATTTACTTGAGGAAAAATATGAAAACAAGCTCCAAGGCTTGGCCGCCAGAAGCACATTAAGGTGGGAATTAATTTTACATTTTTAGAATTTGCAATTACAACAAAGTGATGTAAAATAATCGTACTGTTGGAAGCCATATCTTTTTCAAGACGTTATTTAACTATGAATGTCACAACGCTTTTCTCATGAACAGTGTCAAGCACTCAGTTACTGAATGAGAAAAAATAGTATATGAATTTAGAATTAAAAACTTCATTCTAAAATAGCTAAAAGCTGTAGTCTTGTGTTTGCATGAAGCTTGTGCTAGTGTTTTCTGACTTTTTGAGTATTTAACTTTGAAAATGTAGTAGCATTCTAAAATCTGGAGCTAGGAAGTATAAAAGTATTGTGAATGTGACAAGTTCAGCATGTGCTGTATTTTTGTAGGACCTAGATAGCAAGCGATGATGCTCTCCAACAGGTTTTTAGACAGTAAAGTATGAGATTTAGACAGAATGATTTCTCTTCTGGAGTTTTTACTTTTTTTTTTTTCCTTCGTGTTTTTCGTTACGTGAAATCATATAAAATTTTCTTTAGTCTTTTTTGTTGTTATTGTTGGTTTTTTTGTTTTGTTTTGTTTTTTTTTTTTTAATTTTAGTAGTTTATTTTATTAATTTTAGAATAAATGCGTGTGTCTAAATATAGACCTCCTGTGTCGTTTTAGAACCCCTGGGGACTCCACCTGGCCTCTCACTACCAGTTTAAAGGTGCAGATCTCCTGGAGGTCTCATACCATATCTGCCATCCCTGCACAGATATCCTGGATACTCCAGGGTATTGCAGCGGTCATTAGGCACCTTCTTTTAGCATCTGAATTTCTCCTTTAGATAAATGCTGTGAAAGACAGTATGCCTCTACAAATGCTTAACAAAATTAAAGGTAGCACAGCTGTGAAGGTAATTCCATCTAAGGTGTTTTATTTAGGTTTAACAAGACATGAAGGCAGGAAACTAATTTTGTATCTAAGGAGTACGGAGTTATTGTGTTTAAGGGGATGCTATCGAGAGTCTGTTTTGAATTAGGGTGGCTGAGCTGAGCCTGTGTGCGAGTTGGGAGCTGCTGTGGCTGAGGGTGTGCACCACGAAAGGTCCTGGGCAGAAACCTGGGGCTTTTGCATCAGGAACGTAGTGATCTGATGTTCAAAACCGTTGGGAGTCGGGCAAAAGTAAGCTTAATTTCTCAGTTTTGGACGTGATCCAGCAACCTAATTTTGCCGAAGAAAACAGTAGTTTCAGGTACCAGGGCACTCAGATAGAGGGAATTAGGGAAATACTTGCATTAATTACATAGGCAATTAGAAACCTATGTTAATCAGGCCCATTTTTGATGGTCTACTGAATCAGAGAGAAGTTCAAAACCTTGAATATATTAGTTAGTGTAGTTATATATGAATTGTACAATGTGCTTTTATAACAAGAACAATTCATAGTATATAATATAGAAACATATAAAAATATATACCTATAATGTATATAAATATAGAAATAATATATAAATATATACAAAATATATAAATAATATATACAACAGATACTGTATATGTATAAAATATATAACTCAAAATAAAATTAAAGCTATTGGAAGGTAGCAAATTCCGGATTAAACTCACCACAGGCGTTAATTAGGATTGTATAGACAGAGAACAGTTTCCCGTGAGCATTTTTTAATCAGTCAGAAGCGTTATGATTGATAGGAATTTGGACTGCTTTTGCAGAAGTTTTAAAAATGAAATTGTTACAGAAGAAGGCATGATGTAGCGTGGCTTACAAAGTAATCATAAAATCTGATTTAGTAATGTGCAGTACTAATTTTGTAATTTGCGAATGAAGCAGGAGAACTGTTTTCATGTACTGATTTTTTTTTTTTTTTTTTTTTTTTTTTTTTAGGTCTTTATCAGTCTTTTTCGGGATGAACCCCCAAGGCATGGCTGTGATGGCTGTTTGAAACAAGAAACAGATACCGTCTCGGTGTTATTCATTTCACTGATCACTGGGAATTTGAGCCTGAATGAAGGTGGAGGAAGACTCCTATGGAGGACTGGGAACGGTTTGTCCCTTAAGAAGGGTATAATGTCATGTTTAATGTTTTTACCAAATACCGGGGCATGTGATAAAAGTTTATGGATTGGGAATTAATTGAAAGGTTGTGACATGGGAACGAATGAGCATTACGGGAAGCCTTGGAGAGCTACAACCTAAGCACCCTGAAATTTGCGACCAACCCCCCAGAATGTCTCTTGAGGTATTGGAACCGTCTCAGATGACTGTTATTTTTGATATAATTTGCCAGCCCCAGTAAGCTCCCCCGGTCAGACTGGGAAAAGGTGCTCCTTTTATTAATGCTTGTCCAGGGGACTAAAGTATATTCTGGGTAGTGAAACATTTAGTTCATGAAATTAGCTACAGAATTCAGATTTAAAAAGGAAAGGCAGCATGAGTTTATACCTGACAGGTGGTACATGTTTTAAAAAATGCTGTTCAAAAGATAATGTGCTTATATCTAACCTCTGTTATCTGCAACATAAAGGTTTACGATTTTATATGTATTAAATAACACATCTATATGATGTAACGCGAAATGCATAATTAAAATGACTATAAATATAGAGCTATGTAAATATTATCCAAATCATGTGTAAAAATTAAATAAACTGTTTCATTTCTAGATGTTACAGAAAACACTTTAAAGTTTTATACAGTCTTTCTGCTCCCCCCTCCCCCATTTTTAATATAATTGTGGTTTTAGAACGAATCTGTCTACTAGTGTTTTAATATTTGCAGTTGTGTTAATTTTTACTGAGGAACACTTCAGTTTGGGGAAATGGTTACACTTTATCCCAGCTGTGGTTCATGTTGTTTGAACAAGAAGTCCCTGAGTATTTGTCCCAAATACCAATATTTTTACTCCACTGGCAGCTGTGTATTTGTGGTCACCCTATGGCAATATATGCAAAGAATGTATGCAGTGGCAGCGCCTCTTCCAGAGAGTACCAAGAGGAAAACTGGATGTGGTCAACCCACACAGAATTTGCTCTTTTTGGTGGAGGTCTCCCTTGAATGACACTTTTTGTTTCGGGGTAAGATGAAGGTAAGAGATAGAAACCATTCAAAAGCCATTGCTTATGTTCCCTGAAATGGGCTAAAAAGAACAGCTCTTCTGAGACACAGTTTTACACTGAACATATGCAGAGCTGTGTCATTACTAATTCTGAAAATGTGTTTACAATGGTTACGTAAAATATTTAGTTACTATTTAAATATTTTGATGTATTATAGCTCGTACATGAATTTTAGATGTCTACTGCACTTAACATTTCCAATTTAAATAACCGGTTTCATTAAGATTTTTAGTGATACAAATTAATAACAAAAGGCAGTTAATACAGAGTGCAGTTATGAGACCAAAATACATGTGGTTTAAATTTAAAGAATTAAATGTTAGCATTTCCCTATAGAGAAAGGTTATTTGGGCAGTGGAATACTGACATTATCACCACCCACGGAGAAGGGGACCTGTTGATCCTATTGGTTAAGCAGAAATTCAAAAAAAGGAAGAATGTACGTCTGGAGGGTTTACTTGGTGTAAGTGAATCACACAGGAAAAATGCTGATACCCAAAGTTGTCGCAGGGACCTTCTTTGATGGTTAGAAAGAGAAATAAGCACACAATATTTTTGTCAAGTTAGAGGGTTTAGGTTGCTTGCTAGGTAAAATTGGTCTTGGTTATTAATATAGTGGAAAGTTAAATGATGACCGTGGAAATATGATAATAAGTGCTGCTGTAAATTGGACAGAAATTATTTTCTGTGGCCATTAAGAATGATAATCCAATGTGTTAACCATTGGGCTGAAGGGCCGCTAAGAAAATAAATGTGGAAAGTGGATAAAATAAAGGATAAAAGTGTGTTTAAGTAGGTGTTTCTTCAAAGCTTCCTTCAGGAAGGTGTTTCTGGACACTACCATACCGCTTCTGACAAATCATGTCTGTTGAGATAAAGGTAAGCAAACAGCATTAATTCAGCAGTAAACAGTGCTATCTGTATCTCTGGATTTCTGTTTAAGCAAACCCTTAAAATAATTTTCCTGGACCTAGCTAGAAACAAATCTTTTAAAACCAACAATCACTAATTTGTGACTATTTAAAGTTAGTTTAATCTGACAACCCCGGGATGGCTTCGCCTATTATTCCTGGAAGAAACTCCATAAAATTAGGTGGTTTTGAGCAGTTTCATACTGACATGGGACTGCACAGAAAAGCCCGGCCTCAACATCCCTGCGTGTAGGGAGAGCTCGTCTCTGACCCTCAGCCTGACAGCCTCAACACGGGCTGAGCTAAACCCCAGGCTACCAGTACTTTGCACTCTGGCTTTTGAAACTTTCTGCGTGAGGTATAGTTTCAACATGAAAAGTCAAAATACAGTAGTTTACAATCATTTTTGCTTCGTTTGAAGCTAAAACTCAAAGCAAAACTCCCGGGGACTAGAACTGTGTGAAGCAAAAATGTAAGGGAGTTAACACACAAACTCTGCAAACTGAACCAGCTAGTTTTACTCAGATCTTGAAACAACCCCTTTCTGCAAGTTCACTTTTCAATTGCACATGTGTGAGATGTCAAAAATGAGTTGGTTTCACTACTCGGTGGCACAGATGAACGCTGCAGCTCTCAAGCATCACCCTTTGTCTGAACAAGGTCTCGCTCTCTCTCCCAGTTTCAGCTGCCAAGAGACAAAATTTTCCCAGTCCCAGGCTAGTTACATTTAGCTTTTGTTCATCTGTAAAACAAGGGATTTGGCTCTCACCCCAAATCCCAGTCTGTATGTGCTATATAGTCGTATCCAGCCCTGAACTCGTTTCCTCCATCTCTAACAACGCTCTAAACGGCACCCAGTCCCAAAACGGCAGGATTCACTTCACCTCTGGGAGGTCATCTAAGGATTCAGGTGGTTTAAGTTCAAAGCCTGGTGTTTCAGAGATGCTGAACACCCGTTGCTTTTCCAAATTGGTGTGTGGGGGCTGCAGGTGCTCATGCCCTTGAGGAGATCAGACCCCTCCTCCTGCCGTACTCTTATTTACCGTGAAGCAACGAACAATCCTCTGCTCTCCCTTTCTGTAAAATTTTAGTGCAACCGGCTTGAAACAAGCCCATAAACCACACTGAGGTAAAGGTACCTTTCGCAGAGCATTGCTGAGCGTGGATGAGCTCGGACTGGTCAGGGCTCCTTTGTTTGCCGGGCAGCTGATTCATTTTCTTTCCCCCAAAATATCGAGGGAGTGAACTCCTGAGCTTCCAAAGTGATCACTGATGGAGAAGCAAGGCCTCAGCAGCAGTAGGGCTGAGTCAGCTTCTAGATGTAGATCTTGGACTTCTGCAGCTTTGTTGAGAAGAACTAGAGTGGCGTTCAGAAAAAAAAAAAAAAAAAAGAAAAATCAGATAATCAGTGATCTCGTGTGCATATATTTTTCTTATACGATAAATTTTTGTGGCGAATTGGTACCTAGGAAAGTGCAGAATGCAAGGGGATGGCTGAGTTTGAAGGTTTAAGGGTATCTTGAAATACAGCTCACAGAGTTACACGAGGATTATTGTGAGCAGAATTTACAATATAATGGCTCATCTCTGCACAAAAGTGAGTTTTACGTGGTCTGAGCATATGTTACCCAAAGAAACCATTGGGTTGTTGGTGGAATGCAAATATTATGTGACTCTGAATCTCACTTGGTATTTTAAACCATGAGAGTTTCAGATTTGAGTCATAGTAACTTGTAAGTAGGATATATATATATATATATGCGCACATCTAGCACGCAAGCTGTAAGCAAGGCTTCTGCCTTGGGGTTATTTTCCCCTCAGATTGCAGATTTGGTTCTCTCTTATTCTAAATCATTATAGCCTCAATGAAATGTCAGAAGTCAGATTAGATGCTTCCAAAATTTGCAAAGAAACGTAAACTAGAAACCTTTAGTCTTCTATTTTCTGTTTGGCTGCTTTGATTTTCAGAACCCTGGGTCCATCAAACCACGTTACACTTTTCTTACAGCTCTCCTTCTCCACCATGCCTCCTGCATGTGCCTGGCATCAGAATTTGGTCAACCTTTAATTTACCCCATCAGAGCACTCAGCAGCATCTAATCTTTCATTAGAGTCAAAAACTTTGTTAGCACTGCTCGAAGAGTACCTTTAACCCAATATCTTTATTGGGAAACTCTAGTCAGAGCAAGAGCTGGAGAGGATGGCACACGAGGGGCTGCTAGCAACAACAGAGGCATGTGTGGAAAAAAAGTTATTTTTTTTCTTGTTTTCCTCTTAATTCAGCACTTTGACTTAAAGCATGCATCTGGCCAAGCTATTCAAAGAGTGACTTGCTGAACAGAAGACTGTAAGGTAGGATTAGAGGCTCTGCTTCAGAGAAAATCTGCTTCAGCCTAGAGAACAATCCCACCACAAAATAAAATTAACTTTAAAAGTAATGAGATTTTCCACTGTTAACTTAATAGCAGCAAACCACATGTTCTAAACAATGTTGAGGGTTTTTTGTTTGTTTGGTTGTTTTTTTTTTTTGTTGTTGTTGGTTTTTTTAGTTTTTTTTTTTTTTTTATAAGGACTCATTTTTAGTAATAAAACTCAGACTATTAGCCCTACCATTTTTCCACTGCTGGAGGAAAACGTGGACTCTTGCTGAGCTGTACGGTGAATATCTCAGAGATATTTGAATCTGCCACCAATAAAAAGGCCTCTAAAATGCTAGCATGGAGGAACCAGTTCAAGGTAGAGGAAATGGAAAAAATGGGAAAAAGAAGAAACATCTCTTTGGATCTTTAGCTCTGTTATTTTTTTAGATTATATTTCTTCTGGGCTCCCAAAATCTTCCGTAACAAACAAGTTTTCTTTTAAAAAGTATTAAGTTATCAAAACATTTGCCAGGTCCTAATATTAAATCCTAGCAGTCAGCAATGTTTAAGTTCAGCCATATCATTTTGCTGAGTAAGTCATGCTAAAACTTGAAGTTTTTCTCCTCAAAATGATGTTTCCAAATGAGATTGATACGGTGAGAAAAAAAGAAAAAAGAGAAGGATGCCTTCATCATGAGGAATTATGGAATTAATTTTCTTTATACACTCTGTTTGCACAAGACATTTTTGTTAACTCTTAATAAAAATACCATTCAGCTGCTACTTTCATTGTTTTTATCCTGGGACCAATACAACATTGTCATTATTGGATATAAAGTGCTGTAAAAACAAATCTAATTTGTTAAGTTTATTTTGATAAGAAATAAATATAAAGGTAGTGCATAGTTTGTACAGTGCTGCTATCATAGGACTCCTGGGTATAATTTATATAAAGAAAATAAAAAAGCATACATAACTTTCTAGTTGATTTCCTTTAACAGGGCTAATTGAAAACAGTTTCTGTTATTTAAAAGTAATTTATTTTAAATATACTTTTTAAAACAAAGTTCTTATTGATATCCATTTTAAGTATAATATTATCTCAGTGTGGGATACAAGTAAAAGGTCAAATCTTGTAGGAGTATTTTCTGTATGACTCAGTTCTGATCATAGATAAACTTATCGGGGAAACCAAATTAGTTAACCTTTTCAGTACCAAAAGCTTGTTTTAGCAAGGC